CATTTTTTCTCTTTTCCAGAATTTTGAATTTCAAACCCTAACCCTAACCCCCCCGTAGATCTTCAGGGTTGAAGGCGTAGTCTAGGACTTGGTCATTTCTGGGACTTGGTCATTTCTCGGATCCTACGGTCGCATTTACATTTGCTGCTAAAATCGTTATTTTCAACTTCTTTTCCTTTTTTTCTCAACAACCAAGGCATCCACCAAGGTGCAACCGGTACCAAAATGACCGCCTTTCTTTTGTCGTCATTCAGACACCAGGTGCATTTAGGTGCACGCGACGGTCGAGGAGAAATCTCTGTTGCAAAGGAAAAAGTGGCTTTTTCGCTCTGCTATTCAAACCGTGTCTTGCTTGGCGCCAAGATTGCCTATTTGGGACTGCCAAGACGGGTAATTTTCTGCATTCTGGCCTATTATAGACAGATACGCCGCGCCTTCCTCGCTTGCGGCGTTGGAGTGGGCCTATGGACCACGACCTTTGGTGTGGATCTTCTATGTCACCTTTCGGGCCCACGACAACGACCAAGCTCTCTGGAAGGCATGGGCGCCTCAATTATACTTAAATTTACTTCGGAGGGCTAATATATATTTAATTTAAATATTTTTAAAATTACCTTTAATATAATTAATAACAAACGAAAGGGAAGTGTAAAGATATTCTTAAAAGTATATATTAATATTATAAAAGTAATTTTAAAATTGAAAGAAACTTTCGTCTGTAAATTTAATAATATTATACTTAGGGCAATATTCGGTATAAGTAAATAGGGCCGTTAGCGATAGAAGGGTAGTTATAATAATAATTATCGAAAATGGAATAATAAAGGGAAGTATAATAGAAATATAAATCTAATTATAGAAAAAATAATCCTAAAATAAAAGCTGGTAAGGATAAGAAGGTAATTACTAACCAAATTCTATTTAGCAAAGCCTACAAAAGCAAACTAATCCTATTAGAATATATACGAAAAAAGATAATTTAAAAGGAATTTAATTATAGCGAACCAGAATTCAAACAACTATTACTTATATACAAATTTATTAGCTTTAAATATTTAAGGGTATAAATAAAGAGCTTAGGGTAGTGTAGAAGGGTAATCTTTATTACTATTTACCTTAATAAACTCTATAATAGATTAGTATTATTATAATAAGGGTAGAGGAAATTATAGGACCTTAATAATAATAATTAAAAAAGTAATAGTATAAAAAAAATAAAGGGTTACCTTAATAGTATAAAAAATAGACTAATTACTACGTATATATATTTTAATAATATCGGCTCAATTCCCGAAGGAAGAGCTATTAATTTATTAGAACGTAGGTATTACGGGTAAAGGGTAGATGTGAATATGCGTAATTGCACGAAGGAGAAAGGAAGAGAAGTGTGCAGCCGAGTGCCTAGAAGGCTGGCCTTATGAGGACGACCGCCGGCGGGTCTGCGGACCCGCGGTAAGTAGCGCTCTAACTAATTAGCTGCCGGTAATAGTTAGTTTGCCGGCAGTGATGATAGCGTATAGCAGTCTTAGAAGCTGTTGTACGCTAGTACTAGGTATAAGGTATATAGGCTAGCCCTATAATACTTCCCCGGATTAAAAGAAGCTATATGGTTGACTAATATTATATAAAATAATAGAAATCCCCTTTTGAAAAGCCTCTATAGCCGCTAATACCGTCTATTGTAGTAATTTCCGTCGTGAGGCTGGAGTTCCCCGCGCTGTACCTCTGTAATTTCCCTCCGGCTCTAGTAACTATCTTCGCTTCTTTTCCGCCGCTACCTAATCCGGGGGATATAGTACGTCCGGGTGGCCTTCGTGAAAGATCCGTACCATATTAGGGGTTATAGATACATTAGTGTACGGCTGCTATAACAGTGTATATAGAAGTACTTAAACTACGAAGTATTCCTAATAGCCCTTATTATTCCTCCGGCATTTATCGATTCTTTTAAACTTATATTCGATAGAGTCCTCCCTTTTATTAATCCTCCTTATAGTTCGGCTATAATTAATACGAACGTCCTATTCTTCTATAATTATTTATCCTAGGAGACTTTCCTCGTTCTATAATTTAACTTTACTAATATAGAACGTTGGGCTATACTTTATATTAATTAGGAGTTTAAGTATTATTTAATAGCTATTTACTTTAAGGATTTTGAAAGGACTTTCGAAGAGAAATATAAACTTAGTATAAGGCCGGCCGGTATTAAAATTCTCAATATTAAATAGGACCTTATTTCCTTTTATATATCTCGGTACGTCCGACCAATAGACGTTTATATTATCTTTATAATATTATTATATTCGCCGGGCTTAATTTGTAATAAAATTTAAAATTCTTTTAAAATAATTAGTTAATTTATTAGCTTTAAAATATTCTACTTATTACGCCGCTAAAAATTTTAGCGGGTATAGTTTCGCTAGTTCGATGCCTATACGGGGGTAAAAATTATAATTAGTAAAGAAAGGGGAAATACTGGTAATTTTAGAAACTAGATTATTATTAACGAACTCTATAATTAGAAACTAATTTACCTAATTGTTCTAAATTTAATTAATATAAAAACGAAGATATTTCTCTATTTTTGTATTAATACGTTCGGTTTAACTGTTAGTAGTAGGGTAGAATATAGACGAAGGTTTAAATATAACTTCTAATTGTAATAAAAGAACCCTCTAAAATTGTGAAATAAATTAAGTACTGCAATTAAAAATAATAGAATCCAGTAGACTATAAATACTATAAACTTTTTCAATAAAGTGCTCTACTAATTCTTCTACCGTTAAACCGACGGTAGGGATATAGTACCTTATTTTAGTAAAACGATCGATAATAATAATAATATATTTAAATTTCTATCCGCGGTGTAAATAAGGTGTAAGTGGGGTAATGTAATCGACTAAAATATCCTTCTATAGTATAAATAGTACTACTAATAGTTTTAAAAAACTATAGGGGGTGTATTGTAATGGTTTGGATTTAGTATATATTAAATAAACCTTATAGTATAATTTAATAGTAGTATATATTCCTAGCTAAAAGAAAGATTATAATAGTAATAAATACGTTTTTTTACAACCCGGGTGCCCGGTAGATAGTAAATTATAAATGTAGCAGAGGAGTAAGAGGTAGAATTCTATATTAATAGGGTCGATAAGGATAGTGTTATAGAAGTATATTCGTTTTTAAATTGCTCCGTATTTAGTAAAGGGGACTCTCTTTATATAATTTTTAACCTCTTTAAATTATATTCGATAGTTAGAGTCCGATAAGTAAACGATAATATTTTAGAGAATTGTCGACTTCTTATAGCCTTCTATTACTAAATTATCTATTAACCTCTCGTTTAGAACCTTTAAATTGTAAATATATTTAATACTAATATTAACCTCTTTACCCTTATCTTCTAAAATGAAAATTCTATTGATCAAAATATTATAATTAAATAAAACTTTATTCCTAATTAATAGCTTCTCGTCGGTTATATTTTTAGGCAAATCTTTTAGCTTCCTACTTAATACGTCGGGGCGTACTTATAAAGATCTAAGGTAGTATTTAATTGTAAAATTAAAATAGGAGAGAAATTAAAATTAATATATATAATAGGGGGTAAATTATTTATTTACTGTAAAAATCTTCAAACTTTTATAGTTAGTAAGGATTTTGAATAATATTTAAACTCCTTCCAATTTTAAAGCGCTATTCTTCGAGGGCTTTAATAATAGCGAGTAACTCTTTATTATAAATATTGTAATTATATTCGGCCGAAGAATATTATTAATTAAAATAAATAATTAGATATAAGATTCCCTCCTTGTTATATTAGGATAGAATACTACTGCAAGCCTAATTCGAAGTATCCGTTTTAATAACGGTTTATTTAAACTAATTATAAATCTAAAGTACTAAACTACTACTAAAGGCCTTTTTAAGAGCCTTAAAAGACTTTTAATAATAGTCGGTCTATTTCCAATCTACTAACTTCTTTATTAATTCGTATAATAGACTAACGATAATCGAGAAGTGTTTAATAAATCGTCGGTAGAAATTAGTAAAGCTTAAAAAATATTATAATACTCTTTTAATTTCTAGAACTTTTTAAATTTTAATAGCGGATACTTTATCAGAGTCTATCTTAAGTCCTCCTAAGGTAATAATTAGACCAAAATATTTCGTCCTTATAATGTAGAATTCGTACTTATTAATATTAATTTATAGTCCTATTCGAATTATCTATCGTAAGACCTCCCTAACGTAGTTTTCGTAGTCCTTTTTATTATCCGAATAGATTAGGATATTATTAAAATATATTATTGTATATATATTGAAAATATTATATAGAACGTCGTTAATATAATTCTAAAAGGTTCTTAGGGCGCTTTAAAGGCCCAACGGGTAAATAATAGATTTGTAGAAGTTGAAACGGGTAATAAAAATAATAAGCTATTTATATCCTTTTTTTATACGGATCCTATTAAATATAATAATTATATTAAATTTAATAAAAATCTTTGCCCGGCAAATAGCGTTAAGGGTCTTCTTAATTAAAAGTAGTGGATAGTACGTTTTTAATATTATATTATTAATACTATAGTAATCGATATAAATTTAAACGTTACTGCTAGGTTTCTTTATTAAAAGGATAGGGGAGGCGGCCGCGGATTGAGACGGGCGAATAAAACTCTTTCTTAGGTTATTATCAATTTATTTCTTAATAATACTAACTTCAATTAGGGATATATAGCGTAATTTTGTATTAGGGGGGTTATTTCCGATTAGAGTTCGATTTTATAATTGTATAAACGGTTAAATAGGACCTCTTCAGTTAAAGATAGGAGGAAAGCCGCTACTTCGTTAATATATTACTATCCCTCTATTCTCTTTAAGATAGTAATAATTTCGTTCTTCATTTTAATTAGGTAGTTAGTTTTATTGAAGAATTTCTTTGTATCCTCGTTAAAAATCTTAATTAAATATATATACCAGATTATTTCTTTATAGAATAATATATTTTTATTAAAAACGCCAGTAAAATAGATTATTTTAATTAAAATCGCTATTTTTTAAAATTCTTCGGATAAATAAACGCTAGCTAAATTATTAATAAAGGGGTAAAAGAGGAGTAAAAGACTTTCTTTATATTATTATCCGTTACCGTCTATAATATTAGTAATTATCTCCTTAATTAAATTTATATCCTAGACCGCTATTACGGCGGTTAGCCTTTCGATTTTAATATAGTTCGTAATATATAATTATAAACATTAAAATTCGTAAATGAAGTTGAAAATTATTATATTAGATTCTTTAATATTATTTAATTTAATAAAAGAGTCTATGTCGAAGTTATAATAATAGTAGGCTTAAGGATGCTTTATATTTATAGAAATATATTAGCCGTTGAAATAGATATAAGGTTTATAATACGCTAGGCTCTTAATCTTAATTAGAAG